ACTACATATTATGAAGAGAGAGAGAGAGAGAGAGAGCACGCCAAAGAGAGAGAAGCTATGTTTGACTGGGGAACCCTTTCCATAGTTAATACTATAAAACAAAACCTGTAGATAAAGTCCTAACAGAACTACAGTTAGCCTGAGAGACTGTATGAACATAATGGTTGATGGGATAAAGGTACAGGTTGGGATAAGCCCTGAGATATCTGGATGGATTCTCTGCAATGTGGTTGTGGCTTCTCTACTTTGAGGATGGATACTGTTTCTGAATGGGGACCTCTTCCCTGACCTACTATTGTAAATCATAAGGCATATAAATCTGCCCTCTGTGCCCACAGACTGGACATGCTGAATGGGAACCAATGAGGCCACCCAAGCCCGCATAGTTCACTGATTTCTAAAAGGTGTAACAGAAGCTGGAATGCTGATACAGAAATTTCACTATACAAGAGTCTCAGGTGTAATACACACTTCAGCTTCCAACAAAAGGCTGTGAGCATCTCCAACAACTGCCAGGATCTCAAACTGAAAAGTGATTACCACTGTGCTCCCCATAGGACAGAGGCAGGCCCTACTGGATAACACCACACAATGGAAAACAGACTCAGTATGAGCCTGTGAATATCTGGTTTTGCTCCCAACCAACCTGGCACCTTGACATAAGCAAATCATGGCCAACTGCCATTATGCTTGTCCATAATTACATCTGGTACATGAGTAAAAATCAATTCTGTTAGAAAGGCATAGCAAATATCTCCATAATTCTAACAGAATTATATCATTACTGTACTTTGGTATGGTTTCACACTGGTACTGTTGCTAATACTTAATTACCTCATGTAAATAAGCTTTATGACAATATTATTATAATCAAACGTACTGGGATATTGAGTTAAAGAATCTTCAGGCTCTAAACATGATAGAAAAGGCTAGCTAAATACCAATTTCTATGCTACATGGTTTTGAACAAGTTATTTATTCCAGGTTCGAAGACTGGTAAATCAAGGGAGTATACTTACATAATTAAGTCTGCATAAAGTATGAAAATGTATATAATGGCTTTGGAAAACAGATTAGTTCTTAGTTTAAATCCATCTCTACCACATACTGGGCACCTCCAAATATCAGGCAAAATCAGTTATTGCTATTGTCTGTCACATAAATTCTGAAATGTTAAACAGAGATGCCCAGACAAATTTAACGCTTATGCTGAGAAAGCACCAGCCAAAAGCCAGGGGGCATCCTACATAATTAAAAAAAAAAAATCAATCTCACCCATAAAATTCTGGCCTGTGCCCTTGAGCAATGGGAGGCAATGAATTGCTATGCTTCTGGAATGTCCTGCCTGTTGGGAATGTCTGTTTCCCTACAGGCTGCCAGAAAGTTTGACAGTGGTTTATAAGGCTAGGCCATACTAGTTCTGAACTATAGAAGAAAGAGAAACTGAAACCATTAGTGCGAACACCAGCAACAGTTGGAAATGAAAGTTTAGCCACACAAGCAGGATGAAACAGAGACCTAGTAAAGACCAGACACTTCAGGCTCAAGTGAGTTTCCCTGGTTGGCAATGTTCTACAGAGTCACAGGTCTGGACAGAAGACGGCACACTGTGACCGCAGACAAGACACCCAGAAGCTCTACTTCTGAGTCCCTCCAGACCTTGTCCTACGAGTTGCCTGGATTTTAGTTTGTACCACTGTCATAAGACGGAACAGCTTTCAGTAAGTTCTATGAGTCTTTCTGGTGAATTATCAAATCTGACTTTTGGAAACCAGTGAATCTACAGTTAATATCAAAAGTGAAGACAGTCAGAAGAAGAGGTGAGAATAACCCCTGGACCGACCAAGGCTGCGCTCCGCTGCATCTCGTGTCCAGCACCTGTGTCCCATCGCCATTGCTACCACGCCCAAGAGAAAGGCTGAAGGGGGTGCCAAAGGTGATGAAGCCACAGTGAAGGACAAACCACAGAGAAGATCTGAAAGGTTGTCTACTAAACCAGCTCCTCCAAAGCCAGAGCCCAAGCCTAAAAAGGCCCCTGCAAAGGGAGAGAAGGTACCCAAAGGGAAAAAGGGAAAAGCTGATGTCGGCAAGGACGCGAATAACCCTGCCAGAAAACAGAGAAGCCAAAACAGACCTGGCACAAAAACTGAAGGTGCTGGAGCCGCCAAGTGAAGTGTGTGCATTTTTTTTATAACTGTGTACTTCTGGTGACTGTACAGTTTGAAGTACTATTTTATATCAAGTTTTATAAAAATGCAGAATTTTGTTTTACTTTTTTTAAAGCTATGTTGTTAGCACACAGAACATTTCATTCTTGTTTTGGGGTAAGGAGCATAAGTCACTAATACGATGTCTCCAAAGCTGGACTGATGTGGGGAAAGCACCTTTCCCTGCTAGTTTTGAGACTTCCTCTTGGCTTCCAGGAGAAGGGAGTCTCTGATGTTGACACCTGTGGCCACCTTGGTACAAAATGCCTTGTGGTACGGGAAAACTCCCAGTTCATTTTATGTCCCCCTTCCCTCTGCCATCAGCACAGACTTAACTCCCTTAAGCCCAGAGACCTATTGGGACCTAACTCCCAAAAATTGATGTTACCAGTGTGTCAAGCATTCTAGACTTGGCAGTGACATTGAGATGCTGTCCCATAAGAGCAATGACTTCCTTTTCTAGACAGTAGATCTTCAGATTGATAATTCTGTCATTTTCATTTCACTTTCTGAAAGTCAGGGTCAGCTTGTGAAAAGCTGTTAAACAACTGCTAAATGTATAGTGTCAACCCTCACTCTAAACTTTCCCTACTCCGAGCATCAAAGACTTCACTGGATTTTATAGTGGCTTTCTGATTTTTGGTAGTCCATCCAAGAAGGGAGTTTGAAAGTTGTATACTGTTAACGATTGTGTGCCCATGTCCTGCCTGAAATACCATGATTGTTTATGAAATTGGAAAAAAAAAAAAGCGCAGGCAGTCTTGTGAAGACTCTTGGAAGATTCTGCAATTTAACTAAGTGTACTTAGGGAGAATTCTTTGTCTTTATGGACTTCACATTTGGGATTTTTATGGTTTGGGGATTTTCTTGAGGGGTGGGAGGAGAAGGCAGATATTAAAAGATATGTAAGATTTAGAATATAGTAAGTGCCATGGGGTGGGGCAAGGGATACTGGAGGGCCTAAGAATAGATTTATAGGATGTTTACATTATTGTACTTTATCCTATTTTTAATCCACCACATATACAAAAGAATTAATGTAACAGGCCTTTAGAAAGGCCTACTTACAAGACTGGTCCATGGCTGGTATGTGGAACTCTGACTGTTCCTAACTGACAAGGACAGCAGTGTGAGTACACTGTTTGTGTGATGCAATTTGCAACAACACTTGCTTTCCTCCTGGAAAACACAGTTTTCCTATGTCATAGGCAATGAGTGCTCATGTGACCAGCCCTCACTAACAACTTCAATTACTGACTAAATCAGCGTCCCTGGTCAGAAACTATATACATGTTAGAGTTTTTCTGTGGCTGGGAAAAAGGGCACACTTGACATATTTCCCCAGAGGAGGGAAAGAACATAGGGAAAGAAAAATAATTCTGCAGAATCTACTTGTGACTTTTCAGCATGCTGATTCTATCATTTTGTTACAATAATCCTTAGTTGTAAGGACAATTATATGCCGAGAGCCACAATTCCTTCAAGTGAATCATTAAGCACACAGGTGGTCCCCAAACTGGAAATAACCCAAATGCTCATTAATGAACAAGTTAATTTAACTATATTCCATGTAAACCCTGTAATATTATGCCACCTACAAAAAAACACAGGAGTTCAATTTAAAACAGGCTACTCTGAAATCAATCTCCCCAATGTACTGTTGAGGTGAACAGCAAAAATTGTGGAAGGGTATACCACATTAAGATGTTAACAATGGGGCCGGGGATTTAGCTCAGTGGTTCTGCCGCCTGCCTTGCAAGCACAAGGACCCAAATTTGATCCCCCAGTACCAAAGGAAAAAAAAAAAAGATGTTAACAATGAAGTCATGGGGAATGGGTCAATGTTCTAAAAGAGGAAGAAGGAAGAAGGCAGGAACAGTGGGAGAGAGGGAGGGAGAAAGGAAATACAAACAATATGTTTTTAATTAAGGAAGGGAAATATTTTGAATAAAATATAGCTAGCAACTAACTAGTAGATCAACAGAGAGATATGAAAAGAATGTCTGTCTATAGGATTTTTTTTCTGAAGAGTATGATTTCAGATCTCCTTTATTTCGTTTCATGGCTTTTCTACATTGCTTGATCCCCCCCACCCCAATGAATACAGACTAAGTGCTTAGTTTGAAAAGACAATAAAACTATTTTCATCTACTTTCTTTCTCATCTTTTATTAGTATGTCTGATTATAAAATCAGCTGTTCAGTTAAACCATATTATCCTTTTCCTTCTTTATTGAGATAGTTGTTTAAGCTCTTACCTGTCTAAATACAAGAAGAGGGAGAAAAAAAATCAGAGAAACAAAGGCATGGATAGACACAAAATAAAGACAGGCAGTTCCTAAATAACAGATCTGCCTATGGAAAAATCAAATTCAAGTCACCCAAGTTTTCATTTTACCATCTCTACTTTATGAAATGAGTTGGGCTGGGCCCACAGAAATTTTTCTTTCCTTCTGGATTACTACACAGTAGAGACTCTCATTACTAATGACACAATACATCTACCTCTCCTATTTATCTACGTAATTATTTGCATTATCAGAAAATGTTAGAATTGAAAGGGACTTCATATCACTTAATTCATACCAAAACAAAACTAAGGCCTAAAGAAGTGAAAAGACAGCATGCCAAAAATTACAAAGCAAGTTAAGAGGAGAGCTGAGAGAAAGAAACCCAATTCAACTGATTCCACACTAAGTGGTCTTTCCATTATACAACACTGCACGGTCCCCTTAACCACCCCTAACTGACATGGCTGTTTAATGGTTAGCAGAATAAAGAAGAGTCCAAGAACCTTTGGTTATTTGCTGATGGTCGCCAGAGAATCATGATGACAAACAGGATCATGGAGAACAGCAATCGCCAGATGGCATCATCCACCCATAGCTCCCGCCAGTCCTACAATAAGGAGGAAAAGCACATTTATCTGTATTATTTAACCTTTCCTCACCAGGTCCTTACCACAGAACAAGAATCATTTACGCACATGAGTTGCATTTCCTGTGAACACGCTGTGTGCCAGGCACTGTGCTCAGTGCTGGGGACATAAAGTGAATGAATGTAAGCTCCTCCCTCATAGTACTTGGTGCTGTTGAAAAGGTCCCATCGAACACAGCACTTGTCAGAGCTTCACCACAGCTCTGAGACTCTTTAGGGAAGAGTTTTATACAGGATAAAGTAATATTAACTTGTTAGATTTCTTCATTTTCATTTCCATTTATTTTGACTAAAAGAGAGCTTTAACTGCCTCCAGAAAAACACTACTGACCACAATCTTTGTACAAAGGTCTTAAGGATATGGCTTCTACTCAGATTAGCAGCATTCACACACATCTGATGTTCAGTACACTAGACTTCCCCAGCACTGGAGGGATTGAACCCAGGGCCTTCTTGCTGAGATATAGTCCCAACCCTTTAAAAATGTTTTTAATTAATTAATTAATTCATTCATTTATTATGAAGAGTCTCACTAAATCACTAAGACGCTAAGGTTGGATTCAAACTTGTAATCCTCCTACCCCAGCCTCCCAAGTAGCTGGGATTACAGGTGTGTATCTCCAACCCCAGTTTGTATGAGATTTTCAGTTAAGACAAGCCTGGGTTATGACAGAATATAGCTATCACTCACACAATTCTCTCCCAGGGTGTAATAGGCAAATAAACCAACAGGGGTCAGGGGTATATCCCTGTGGTAGAAGGCTTGACTAGCATGCACAAACCCCTAGATTTAAATCCCAGCACTGCAAACCAAACAAACAAAACCAAATAAAATCCAATTATGCCATGCACCATGATAGCATAGAACACTTAAAGAGACAGTAAGTGCTGTAACCCTCAGAGCAGAGAACTAGCCTCATTTCTTATTCATCAAAAGAATATAAACACTGCCATACACCATCATTGTGTGTAAAACAGAACACTACTCATAAGGTTATGTGCTCATAACTTACCGACTGACAAGTCACTATCCTGAACTTCATGGTGGTCCAGATGATAAACACAATAGATGCTAACGTGAAATGAAAAAATTAGTCAGAACATGAATTTTGGTTGCACATTCTCTAAGTGGAATTCTATACAGTCCTAAACCCCAATATATCACAATTATTTTCCATCAGTTATTTTCACAAATATATTCAATATAAATTACCCCAACACCTGCTAAAAGCAAGAGCCCATGGAAACTTAGGCAGAGTTTCCTAATAATTTTGTTTACCATCTAGCTATTTCACTAAACCTCAGAATTGGAAAAGAAACTACTGGAAATGGGGCTTTTAGGGGCACTATTAATAGAATTTTTACCTTATAGCAGTGATGCTAATTTTTTATTGGCTGGTTAGATAAAAAATAATAAAATGACTAACACAAACAGAAGTACTGATTCCAGTCATAGGTCAGGTCTCACTATACCTGATACAAGGGTCATGAGGTAGACATAATAGCCTACTGTGATCACAGTCTACCTAATGTTTGCATATAAAAAAAGCACTACCCAAACCTAAAATTCTATAGCCATTTAATAAAACCAAGTAAGGGGAGAATGGCATTAGACCTCACTGGTAAAACACTTATTTAGCATGCACAAGACCCTGCTGCATTCAATCCCCAGCACCAACAGAAAATTTTCAAATTAAAAATGAAAAAAAAATAAAACCAATATGCATGCTGCAATGTCTTCTAAATGCTATTTGCCACTCCGCTTGTTTCAAGAAAAAGTGCCAAAGAAAAAGAATGGAGACAGGAGAGGGACACACTTGGAGCTGAAACTGCATTAGGTCAATTTTCACTTGGCATGCTTAAAATAAGAGGTTCTTAATCTTTTTTTAAGACCACAGATACTTTTGAGGATCTGACACGAGCCAAGAACACTTTCCCCAAGTGAAATGTAGAAGACATTCTATGCATAGCCAAGGCCTCTCAGGTGAGAAGCTATCTCTAAAAGCAGCACAGAATCAAAATTAAACAACAGAAAATCTCAGACTTACCAGCCACTGCCAAGATGAGTGTGTTGGTAAAATGTCGGTACAACGAGAGTTTTACCACATTCCTCCGAAGTTTTAATAGCTTCATTGTTTGAGTCAGGCTAATAAATATGTGTTTGCAGGTCAAGGAATTAAACATTCAGAAAGATAAGCAAATTAATCCTCAAGTTTTTTTTGAGGATCTGGGGTCACACCAATAAAGCTCTAGATCTGAGAGGCCTCCCAGATCTCTTACTCTCACTTAAGGTCTCACAAACATTCCAAACCTCTCCAAGATTGATGAAAAAGTAATCAATTTCAATAGACACTGAGAAGACAGGACCAAGATAAAGTAAGAATGCAGCCAGTGTTCTCTTGCACATGGTCCATCCTCACACTGTGGGGTGTAACTTCTTTTCCTTTTACTCGGCCCAGATTTGCTTTGCAGTGTTTCTTTCTTTTCTTATTTTTCATAAAACTTTGTTACCCTTTACAAAAATACAAAAAAAAGAAAAGAAAAAATCTTAAAAAGAAACAAGCTTTCTAGAAAAACAAAAAGGATGAAAAACAGACAACTGGAAGGTGATAAAGTAAAAATGAGTCAACAGGGAGGGAAGAAGAAATGAACAGTCTCTCTCCTGATGGTGGGTGACTATTCGCACCTGGCCCAGCTAATCCATTCTAGGATCATTACTACATTCACACCTTTAGCTTTGCAAAAGTCTGTGCTCAGTCTCCTCCCTCCTTAATCTTACAGAATCTGTCAACAGCTACATTACACTGCTGTGAACCAAGAGAACCCTATGACTGACTGAGAATCCCAAGTAGCTAGGCTCCAAAAGCAATGACTCTCATTTTCAGATCATTATTCCCTAGGAGAACTTGCGAGAAGACAGGAGAACTGAAGGCCTAGCACTGGGCCTTGTCATTTTTCCTGATGACTCCTATCATTTTTTGACGTTCACTGCTATTGGAGAGACCTCCTGAAGTCAGGAATGCAAGCTTTGCAACAGTCCTTCCATGAAGAGAGCTTTGCAGCCTTTACATTTCAAATTTAATCTCTCCTTTATTAGGCAATATGTGGCCATTAATTAGAGAGCAGTGAGTGAGTAGAAAGAAACATCAGATAAAGAAAACACTCATAAGGCTTAGGACTTACGAAGACATAAGCAGCTTTCAGAGTAAGGACAAGATACAAAAATAAGGGAGTTGGAGCTTACTCTGCTCTTTACAGGAACCTTTAGAGTCAACTAATCCCACCTCCCCCTACTCAGAGACTTTCACAAAACATACTTGAAAAGGACTGACTAGAAAGCTTTATTCATTTGGACTCAGGATATTTCAATTACAAATGTTTTGCTATGTGGCAACCCATTCAAATTCCCAACTTAAGTCAAGTTACTTATAATCAAGACAGTAATACTGCACATATAGAAACCAAAACAAATTTAAAATAACCCTAAAAAGATAAAGTTAAAAAAACGGAATCCTTCACATCACAAGCCAAGTCTCTAGTAAACATGTTTTATTTTCAGATTGGGAGAAAAGATTGCTCAAATAGAAACTTACTTATCAGCAGCTGACTTTGCATGCCACTCTGATGAGCGGCAGTGTCCAGACAACGCCAAGTTAGCATTTGAGTAAGAGAGCAAATACACTGTAAAGATTAAAACCCACTAAACCTACTGAAGAGTTTCAAAAGAACCAAGCCAAAATTTATGGATCAACCTGTTTTCATAAGTTTCAAAGCCCTTAGTAACTGTGATAGGGTAAAAAGAGCAGGATCAGAGTAGCCAGTGATTTAAAACCAAAATTAGGTACAAAAATACCAAATCAAAAATCAAGGTGAAGTGCTATGTATGAGAAAAGCCAGAAGATTTGACATGCATGCAGTCCATAATCCCCTTGATTCTAAAAATTAAAACAAAAACTGCTTACCTGAACCCTCAAGTTGTTAACCTTAAAATATCATACAGTATTTCCCACATCAAGGAGACACCAACAAAATCAGAAAAATTCTTCAGAAAGATTAGCAAACAGCCTTCTCCAAGAGAAGAAAATGGAGCACATCAAACAAGCCAATGAGAAGGATATCCACCAGCACAGGGCAGTGTCTAGAAAAGCCAAGGGGATAAAGGCCAAGGAAGCAAGATCAGTCTGGGCCTGCAGACAAAGAAAAAGAGGTGGTAAAAACAGACTGCTAGAAAGGCACACAGAAGAAACGGGCATAAGATTCTATATTTACATAATCATCTGGAATAGCTTTGCATTTGAACTGAAAAAAATAAACAAAGGACTAACACCTGACACCTAATCATTCTTCTCTTCTTCTGAAGCTTCCCCTAGAACATACAACTACTAAAGTTTTTCACACAAATTACAATTATAATGTCAATGCAATGAAACTGCTAATTACCAGAGTTCCTAAAATAATAAGATACATGTGAGAGGTGACATCAAAAAAGTTCTAATGTTTATAACCTCCATCCCATCCTGACTTCCTATTATTGTGATCTACCCTACAAGCCTAATAGTTAATATACAAAGAAATGATTTCTTGAACTATAATAAAATGAAAATTTTACCAACAGTTCACCCTAAAATAAAATGTAAGGCAATTATTTGCCCCCAAAACTATTTGCTAATCTCCACAAATTTATATAAGATGCTTTTTATATAATCACTAAGGCATTATTGAAAGGATATCCATAAAATAATACAGGCATCAGTTGCTGAGAGGGCCAGGCTTAGAATCGAAGCCAAAGAGTAAGAAAAATACTATAGCAGCAGCAAAAGAAAGGAAAAAAATTGACAAGCGGGTTAAAGATGCTCAAAGTCTTAAGGAGATTACATACAGAGGACAGTGTGGATTGAAAAACAAATCTGCAATCCCAAAGTTTTTTAATTATGGGGAAATTTATTGCAAAAGCTAATGCTCTATAGTGGTGCACACCTGTGATCCCAGCATGCAAGAGGCTTAAACTACAACAAGTTCAATGTCAACCTGAACTACATAGTGAGACACTGTCTAAAAAAAACAAAACAAAACAAAACAAAGCTTAATGAATCCAGTTTGAAGGCAAAGCCAAGTTTACAGAAATTACCAACTTGAATCTAAGAGATTATTACAGAATCTGATTTTTGGATAAATAAAATACTAATTGGAATGGCCCAGGGAGGCCTATTTCTCTACATTAATCAACCTCTAACAAACTTAACCACTTAGATCTCAGTGCTTTGTTTTCCTTCCTTAGCAAAAGGAATATAATTCTCAAGGATAGTGTAAAATTGAATTAGCTGCATTTTAAGGAAGTTTTAAAAACTCAAGTGCTATAGATAAGCAAAGAGCACTGATTTTTTTTTTGTTAGTTTTTTCTAGGTTTTTTTTGAGACAGGTTCTCATTACGTTGTTGAGACTGACCTGGAACTATGTAGCCCAGGCTGGTCTCAATCTCACAAGAATCCTCCTACCTCAGCCTCCAAGTGTGGGGATTACAGGCATGCACCACCATGCCCAGCTAATACTTCAGATTAACCAGTAAGTCCCTAGTTCCAGTGTGTGCTTCTTATTCAAGAATGGAGTCCACTGCCTGGGAGAAGAAACTAAATAATTATCTGGAGACAGGCGGAAAAGCATTTATTTCCCATAACACATTAAATTTATACAGTCCTAAAGGCAGATTAAAAAGAAAAATGAATAATACAGGTTGAGCATTCCCTAAGTCAAAACCCCAAATCCAGCTGGGCATGGTGGCACAAGCCTGTATTCCCAGTATCTGGGAGGCTGAGGCAGGACATCAAGTTCAGAGCCAGCCTGAACTACAAAGGGAGACCCTGCCTCAAAAAATAAAAACAAAAAAACAAATCTGTGACACTCAAAAAGTTTCAGATTTTGGAGCATTCTGGATTTCAGATTTCTGGATTAGGAACATAATTAGAAAAACCTATGCAAATATTACAAAACCTGAAAATTCTGAAATTTGAAACAATTCTGATCCCAAGCATCTCAGTAAAGAGATGCTCCGGAGGGAGGGAGGAAGGTGGGAAGTGGGTGTTAAAAGAATTAGGATGTATCATGTACATGTACCAATTCCACATGATAAATGTAATCACTACATATTGCAAACTTGTACTACTAAAAATGCCAAAAATAAATTAAAGGAATATTTAACCTGTACTTACATTTTGAAAATCAGAGCTCAGAGGTGGTAAAGCAATAGTAAAGAAGGCCACTGACATTTCCAATGCAGCCTCTCAAGACAGAACCAAGACAAATGAACTGACCACAAAAACTCAGGCTGAGAAGTACTGACCCCAGTAACTCTGAGGACTCCTTCCATGCCAGAGAACAAAAGATAGAGAGCTCCTGCCACCACTACCTTGTGAAGAGTGACTCCAAGGCGAGGCCTAAAGAGGAAGCAAAAAGACAGTGAGCACACACGCAGCAAAATTCACGACATGCTAAGTAATGGTGACTTACATTAGAGCAGGTTTGTGATAAATAACACACATGGTTCAGCTAAGAACAAAGGGGAGCCAGACATAGTAGCTCACTCCTGTAATCTCAGCTACTCAGAAAGCTGAGGCAGGAGGATCACAAATTCAAACTCAGCCTGGACAATTTAGAGAGACGCTGCCTCAAAATTTTTAAAAAATAAAGAGGGCTGAGGATGTAGTTCAGTAGTAAAGCACTCGGTTACCACATACAAGACCCTCAGCTCAATCCCTAATACCGCCACCCCCCAAAAAAAGAAGAGAACATACTAGAACTTCCTACCTAGTCCCTGGTTATACATCTTACACATCTTTAAGAAAAAAGTTATGACGGAATTTTGTTTTGTTTTTGTACCAGGGATTGAACTCGGGACCTTGCGCTTGCAAGGCAGGTGGTGGAACCACTGAACTAAATCCCCAGCCCAATTGCAGAGTTTTGAAACACACTCAAAAGCAGTATAACAAACCCTAAAAACAAATACATCACCTAGTCTGGACAGCTACCAGCCTATGTTTAGTTCTGCTGCATGTACACCAGACTTTTCCAACCTTTCACATTACCTGGAAGGAAGTCCCTTCCTTTATTTTCATATGTTCCAGTATGTGTTTTCAACAAATTAGGGCTTTAAAAAATACTATACTGGGCTGGGGATTTAGCTCAGCGGTTCGGTGGCCTGTCTTGCAAGTGCAAGGACCCAAGTTCAATTCCTGGTACCAAAAAAAAAAAAAAAAAAAAACTATACTACCATTACCAAATCTAAAAAATTTTAATAATTCCTTAACATAATCAAATATCCTACTGAAGTTCATTAAATGGTGCATCTGCAAGCTCAAAGCAATCAAATCCAGTAAATCCTGATGATGCCTAAACTTACTATCTCTGCCACACCCTTTCTCCCTTACCTCTTCCAAGTGGATATTTAGCTGAAGTCCTAATCCTGTCCCATGCAACTCTATGCCACCCAGATGCTTTCTGAACCCAGTAAATGTTAACCTCTTCCTGAAACTTGTTCAGACAAAAACAGCATCATCCTTTGGTCCTACTGTCTTTCACATCATATATTTCATTCATCAAGACATTCCACTGGCTCTAACCTTCAAAGCACATTCCAAATATGAAAATATCTCAGCCCTGCCTTGAGGTCTTCGCTTAAATATCACTAAGCAAAGCTTTCTTTGACATACCTACTGAATTGTGAGCATCAGGCCCTGCCCAGCACTCCCTGTAACCTTACTTTGCTTTCTCTGTTCCACAGTACCTTTCATTAATATATATTCAATTATATCTATATGAAACTACAAATGCAAACTGTAAATCTTTTGTTTACTTTCTATTTACCCAGGACCTAGAACAATGCCTAACATACATGGGAAACTCAATAAAATTTTTCTGGAAAAAAAAAATTCAGATAGCTGTGCTATTCCTATAAAAAGTCTTGATTTGAAAAAATATTTTCGAAAACTAATTTAAATTTATTCTAAGAGTTTAGCATTTATACATTATTTGCTATATTGCAGGTTTTCCTGCAGATGCACCTTGCATGAACCAGCAAAGTTTCCCAACACTTACAATGCTACAAAACTTCAAATAACTTTTCTGAGAATGATTTCTTGATTATCAACTCTTCCAGAATTGACACCAGGAACCTGAAATAGTGTTTCAATTTAGTGAGTATTTTAACTAGCTTTCTCACAGAGAAAATCAATACTCACTTGACTATGCCATATCCCAGACTGACTATGATGACCAGGGTTCGAGCCAGAGAGCGTTTGACTGCCGAAAGCAGCTCTGCAAGGATCAAGGCCCCTTGAACTATGAAGAAGAAGAAATGAAGAAATGGTGCTATAATCAAGCTCAGCAAGAGGCTCGATTCCAATGCCAAAACATAAATCACCAACACTTCAGAAGGAGCACTGGTACTCACCCTAATAAAAACAAATACTTCTACAATTGTTATAAACACAAAAGCTGATACCACTTACCACCTTACCTGCATACACAATCTGGGTGTGCTCACCTCCCACCCACCCACTCCCAACTTCACTAAACCTTAATCTCACCCTATGACTCTTAGGGAGTTTCCCTGCCATTTCTAAAAGCCATGAAGTATAGCTATACCTGGAAAAGCACAAAACAGACACATACACGCATGCATGCATGTGTACACTTTTCACCTTCACAGCTACTATTTCCAAACCTTCTCAAAGACATGGAAAAGATCTCATTAGTATAACAACAATTAATATTCAAATGGTCTGAGAGGGAAGTGAAGAATTTCTGTTATAATTAGTTCACCTTACTAAACTATAAGCTTCTTATTTTCTTGGTATTACTGTGGGTTTTTTGTTCTGTTTTGTTTTTGTTTTTTGGGACAGAGTCTCACTATGTAGTTCAGGCTGGCCTTGAACTCATTATGTAGCCTATGCCTAGACCTCTAACTCATGAAGGTTCTCTTGCCTCAGCCTCCTGAGTGTTGAGAATACAAGCATGTGGTACCACACCCCAGCTAGTATTATTGTGTTTTTATCAATTCCTAGATGCAATAAGATCTTTCTTTTTTTGGTAAGGGGAATTGAACTAAGGGCATTGCACTTGCCAGGCAGGTACTGTGCTGCTGAGCTACATCCCTAGTCCTGCATTAAGATTTTTAAAATCAAAGTTTATGCCAGACATAGTAGCGCATGCCTGTAATCCCAACACTTAAGAAGCTGAGGCAGGAGGATCACTGTGAGTTTGAGGCTAGCCTGGGCTGCAGTGAATTCAAGATCAGCCTGAACTACACAGTGAGACCCTGTTTCAAAAATAAACAAATAAATAAAAGCAAAGTTTGTGTTAAAATCAAAGGTAACTTACAACTAAATTGACACTGTTTACTCTCTTCCTGAGATGTATGTAATAATGGTGACTTACATTTCAATGGCAATTGAGATTTGATGATGGTAACCACCATTCCCAAAATGGCCACTTCTTTTTTTATTCTGGCAAGCATAATTCAGTAAACTTGATCTTATATCGCTAAAACCCTAAGTTATGAAATCGAAAAAGTCACAGTCTTGCCAGGCATGGTGGCACATGCCTATAATCCCAGCACTTGGGAGGTTGAGGCAGGAGGATTGCTGTGAGTTCAAGACCAGCCTGGGCTACATAGTGAGTTCCAGGTCAGTCTCAACTACATAGTTAAGACCCTGTCTCCAAAAAACCAGAATATAAATAAATAAAATAAAAAGTCACAATCTTAAAAGTAATTCTACTTACATTATTCTAATAATTAAGTATTTGAAAATGTAAACCTTGACTGCTTACCTTATGAAAAATTTCATACATTTCATCAATGACTCAAACTGACAAATATGTTTGTATTACATACCACATTCTCCTTCATAACGAATATTCTGAAATTCTGCATAGAAGACAGCTTTCTCAAACATTCCCAAGAAGATGACAACACCAATCCAAAACTGAATTCTCAGGAGATCTCTCCAGTAGCAGGCAGACCATGCCAGCCACAAAACACCGAACAGGACATATACGATACACATCACCATGAAGAACTGTCACCCAACAGGGTAAGAGACAAAAAGGAGAATTAGAGCCAAGAGCCAAGTATCTATATTCACAATCAATAAAGTCTTAACAAACTACAAGGATATATAGTACATACTCTACTTTTTGCTTGACTGATAATTATACCTTTGGAGTTACTAGCAAATATGAAGGAAAGCCTCTTAAGCAGAAGCAGACTACACAAGGATTTGTCCCCCAAAGTGACTGCTCCCCATATTAACAGCTGCTTCAACTCACAACACAAAATTGCAGAAGCAAAGACAATGTGGAAGAGGACAAAAGGCACTCCAGGTAGGGACCCATCCAACAGTCGTAAGACACAGCACAATGGGAAAACTCTCACAGGGAAAGGAAAGAGAGCAACCATGAACAAGGCAAGCCTGAAAAGAGACTGAGGATATTCTCAGATACAGGAATCCACACTTCTCCCACATCCACACAGTGAAGAGGAGGAAGCACAGCCACTCAGTTACTATAATGGGCACAGAAACTACAGGATCCTGGCAAGACAGGCCTCGCTGTAGATCCTTGCAAAAATGCGAAATGAGAGGACCTCTGACATACGTTCCAAGTCCAAAATCTGTAAGATACTAACCTCCTCATTTTACAGATTAAAAAACAAGGCTTAGAGGACCACTAACTCTCCCAGGATCACGGTCTAATGAGAAAATTGGAACTTGAACATTTTCTCAACAGGAACAATTCTTTTAAAAAGAATATAGCCAGAAAACATGAACAAATTTTCAAGCTAAACTCAAGTCACGTTAACATTAAAAAAAAAACTTCATGCCAGAGAGCCAGGGATTTAGATCAGTGATGCCACCGCCTGCCTCACAAGCACAAGGACCCAGGTTCGATCCCCAGTACTAAAAAAAAAAAAAAATCCATGGCAGGCATGGTGGCATATGCCTGTAGTCCCAATCCTCTGAGAGCCAGAGACAGAAGAATAGCAAGTTTGCAGCCAGCCAACCATACACAGCAATTTCAAGGACTGCTAGGGTCATAACAGGCAAGACTTATCTCAAAAAAAAACAAAAAAAAACAAACCCACCACAAAAAAAAACAAAACAAAATATGTTTACTTACAATCATCAGAGGATAGTCTTCCAGTGTGAGATATCCATAGGGACCCTTCACTTCAACTGTCACTGCCAAAACAGAGTCCTCAAAATTAATTTAACAAACCCAGAAATTTAAACAAAAATGCTATTTAATATTTTAATGAATTAATAACATTTTTGCTGGGTCATGTACTTTTGACCACTTTAATCACGGTGAACACCGAGTTACATTTGTGCCACACTCAGTCACTGAGAATTGTCATGTCATCCTACACAGATGTTCAAATTTGCTCCGGGCTGAAGGAAGCCGTTCTCTCTGACTCCCATCCTGAAGACTAGAGAGACAACACAGCCTCCACAAAGCCCTCTCTAAATGCCATCTCGAAGGAGCCCCTCTCCTCGAAATTCCAAGCACACTTCATATATACTTTTTCTCACAACCTATCACTAATATGCTTAATAGCATTTGCTTTATTCATCCTGTCACCATCTTTGTGTCCTGTCCCTCATCTATATTTCCCTGTTATTCTCTGACTTCAACTTTATGTGATTTTGCTGCATTAAGGTACCATTTTCAAAATGTAAATTCATCTGGATTCCCACAAATCATATGCTCTCCCTAGTAAAATAAGATGAAACACTATTCAGCTTCCTAATCATACACCCAGGAGCCTCACTTCAAAATGACAAGAACTCAAAAACTTCAGATGGATGCAAAGTACCATCCAATAAAATCAGAAAATAGATTTATTCCAAACTTGCTAGTTAACATTTTTCAAAAACTCTAATAACAAAGGAAGCTGAAAAAAATAAGTGACATGAATCTAGATTTGCCTTTCTAAAGCAACCTATCAGCTATTATAAGATTGTGTATAACTAACAATATTATTTTAAAATTGACTATTTTAACATTGTACTTAAGAAAAAATATTTGGGTAGTTTCTTGATATGATTAATAAATGAAAATCTGATTTACCTGAAAGGTGATAATGTCTAGAGACAGATATAAGATACTGCCATCTGATAAGAATTTTCCACTAGCATTTATCAGGCCAAAGAGACATAACATTATTGAAAATAAACTGATTCTAATACTTAATGAAAAAAGGAACAACCAATAATAGCAATCAAAAAAATTTCAGAGAACCAGTTATTAAAAGTAAATATTTTGCTAACTTAGCAAAAGAATAAGCAGTTATTATGGTTTGTGTCTACATGTCCCCCCAAAGCCTCATGCAGTCATAGGTGGGGCTTCCTCTGAGGTGGCTGGATCCAGTGTGTGTGATGCTGGGATTGATTCATGGTGCAACACTAGGATTAAGGGTGCCCCACCCTGGGTGTGAGTGCTACTTGCCCTAAAACCTGGTAGTGTGGATGGAACATAAGGGACAGGAAGGGGGCTGCCACTGTCGCTTGCTTCTGGCGCTGCGTGGTGCTTACTGCCTTCTGCCTGCCCTGCTGGACTATTTCTCCTCTGAGATAGCCCTCTGCCATGCCACCCTCCCTTGGAGCCAGCCAACCATGGACTGAAACTTCTATAAACTGTGAGCCAAATAAATCTGTTCTCCTTTAACTTTGGGTGTCAGGTATTTTTATCTTAGCAACAAGAAAAGTAACTAAGGCAGCAGTGAATATCAGTGTCACATGTTTTGCTTACTCTATGCCACAGTAAATACACTACACAGACCAATTCTAGCCACCTTTGTTTCTGTAAAGGTTCACTATAACTCAGACACATTCATTCATTTATATTTTGTCAATAGCTGCCTCTGCACCACCACAGTGGAGTTGGGTAGTTGCAATAAAGAAAGAACTATCTGCCATTTAGGATAAAGCAAAAGAAAGTAGAGAAGGAAGGAAGGAGGGAAAAAGAAAAACATGGCAGAAAGATGAATAAGATGTTTTCTGTGATCTAGTGGATTACCTAGCAGGGAAAGGAGTCGGGAAATACCAGAGAACCGTTTTTCTGAGCCAGCTCCAAAAAGGTGCATATATACTTTCCAAGACAGATTAAAAAGCCTTACAGAGAAAATAACACAATCAAAAAAAGTTCTGACTGAATATGTAGCTCAGTAGTACAGTGCTAGTCCAGTATGTACGTCCAAGGCCTACATTCAGTCCCCAGCACTGCCAGTTTTGAGATTGTGTGGTACATTTTTAAAATATTTAGTATGAAACTGTACACAGTGCCATACAATAGTATTTTCATATAAAACAACAAATAATAACCTGAAAAAAGTTGTGAAGAGTTTTATAAATCGTTCTGCAAAATGTGGACATTTTATTGGCAATGATGAATCACCAGAGGTTTTAATTAAGAAGAATATAAAATGATTTTAGAAATGCAATTCTAGGACTTTCAGCTGATACAATTAATGTACCTTCTTAGCTCCAAACCATAAGTGGATAAAATATAAAAAAGAAACAGCATATAGAGCTAAATCCATGCTCATGCTGAACTCTGGGCCCAAAAGCAGGCTGTGGTAGTTCTAAGTGCAAAGCACTAAAATTAGTAGGATTCAAAGAAAAAGAGAAGGGACTAAAAGCCACGTTTGATGCATGAAGAGGCTGAAACAGAATGGGGCAGGACTGCTCTTCTATCCATTTCAGAAAAAAAAGACAGCTAATAATAAATGCTGGCAACTAATTCCAGAAACTGTATTACCCATGAACAAGTATGGGCCCAGACAGGAAAGGGACAGAGATAATCAAGGGGTACAGACAAGAGACCACCTGTGGCTTGCTGAAATCTGAATCACCTATCCCACCAGAGGGCCCAAGACTGAATTGGAGTTAAGCATTTAACATAAGAATCAGAAACAGAAGTTTAAAAGCCAAATAAAGTTAATAAATAAAAGCCAAAGAAGTTAATAAAACAGACAAAGAAATGGTTGGGAAATTAACAAACACAAAAGCTAATTCACTGATATAAAAATAAAATTAATTCCAAAAAGATTTAACAAGTTAAAAAGACAAAAGAAATATTAAGGGTTGTAAAAATCTACAGATACCATAGATTTCTGTAAAGAAATACCATGAATATAATTAGAAATCTTGCTGACATGGTGGCACACACCTATAATCTCATCACTATGAAAGCTGAAGCAAGCTAGGCCACACAGTGAGTTCAAAACCAGCCTGAACTTCCAGGGTAACCCTGTCTCAAAAATCCAAACACCAAGCCGGGCATGGTGGCACATGCCTGTTATCCCAGCACTCGGGAGGCTGAGGTAGGGAGGATCGCTGTGAGTTTGAGACCAGCTTGGTCTACATAGTGAGTTCCAGGTCAGTCTCAACTATATAGTGAGATCCTGTCTCAAAAACCAAAAATAAACAACAACAACAACAACAAAAATCCAAACAGCAGAAGCAGCACCAGAGGAAGAAAAAGAAGAGGAGAGGCAAGGAGAAGAGAAGCAGAAATGAAGAAGCAGGAGCAGCAGCAGAAGAAAAAAATTTTTAATGAAATGAATGATTTCACAAAAAAAGATTAAAAGACACTTATCTGTCAGAGAAGGAGGGTGGACAAAAAGAACAACAGGTCAAAACAGTACTACAAAAAAAAAGTACTTCAGGTGAGTTCCACCATTCACTCAAGGATTAGATACCCTTACCCTCACAAAAACTGTTCCACAAAATTTTTTTTTCACAAAATATTTTAAAAGGGGACATTCTCCAACATTGTATAACCAAAATCAGAGGAAGACAGTATAAGGAAAAACTTATAGGCCAATCTTACTTTGAACTTAAGACAACAACCCTAATAAAATACTAATGAACAGAATTCAGCAATGGGTATATAGCTATTTAGAGGGGTAAAGATGGGGATGGATATTTATCAAGACCCAGTATCAGGCATCCCAGAAATTCAAGAATAGTTTTTGTTGGTCTGTTTTGAGGCAGGATTGTGCCATGTAGGCCAGGCTGACATCAAACTCATGCCAATCCTCCTGCCTCTGCTTCCCAAGTGCTGGAACTACAGGTGTGCACCACCTTGCCCAGTTTCAAGAACAATTTAAAAACAGAAGCCAATTAATGTAATGTGTCATATTAATGTATTAAACAAAAAGACTATATAATTTTAATCAATATAATCAAGTGACTTGATAAAACTGAGCACCACTTCTTTGTATTTTTTTTTTAAAGGAGGGCTTGGGGCCGGGGATTTAGCTCAGTGGTTCCACCACCTGCCTCGCAATCTCAAGGATCTGAGTTTGATCCCCAGCACCAAATCAAAACAAAACAAAAAAACAATAAAGGAGGGCTGGGAATGTGACTCCATAGCAGAGTACTTACCTAGAATGTTCACACAAGAAGAAAAAAGGAAAAAACTTGGTAAACTCAGAACAGAAAAGAACTTTTTTTCTTGATATCAGGGATCGACCTTTGATCCCTGTGCTTGTGAGGTAGGCAGTGGAATCACTGAGCTAAATCCCCAGCCCCAGAAGAGAACATTCTTAACCAAATGAAGACTTTTGAACACACTTAGGGCAAATGTACAAATATTGGCAATAAAGTCAGGAAAAAATAAAGATGGCCACCATCAGTCTCTATTCAATATTCTACATGAGAAAACAAGGCAAGGGAAGAAACTGCAAGGTAGAAAAAAGAAACAAAAACAGAAAATACAACTTGAGGGGGAGATTCCATAAACTGTGCTCCACCAACAGGAGGAGAGCACATAAGAAAAATTCTTGAGACATCAAAAAGTACCAATGTTAAAATCTTGACTTGATGACCAAGTTTGTTTGTTTTGAGACAGGATCTTGCTATGTAGTTCAGGCCTTGAACTTACTATGTAGCTCAGGGTAGCCTGGAATTGCAGTAATCCTCCTGCCTCAGCTTCCTAAGTGCTGGGACTACAGGCATGTGCCACTACACACAGCCCTGACCAAGTTTTACCAATTCTAGTTGAGAATATTGAGAACATGACACAAATAAAAAAATTTTAAATTTAAAAGCCAGAGGACCAAAGGAAGAAAAATGCAACTTGGTACCTGGAATACTTCAGAAGAAAGCATATATGAAGTATCTGGGAAGTATCTGGAAAGTGTCTGAATGCAGAAAGATGCTAATTTTTCTCCTCTAATTTTTCTACTTCACAAAAACATTCTTACTAAGTAATTCTTTCACATAAAGCAATTTTACCCTCTCTGCCATGTATGACACAAGTAGGAAATAACACAAACTTTAAAAAAAGCGATGAACTTACTGGTGAAAAGATTACGTAGTGAACTTTCTTTTGATGATTCCTTTGAGGAAGAAATACCAACGTGCACAATAAAAATGTATGGTGCATCCTGCCAAGTTTGCAGCGGTTCATGCAGTGCCTGGGGAGGGAAGAAAGGCAGGAAACCTTCAAGTCTTAAGAATTAAGAGCACAAAACATGACATGAAAACCTTGCTCCAGAGTGTGCCCCAGAAACACAGAAGAGCCTATTACTTTCATTAAAACAAGAGGAAGAGCAAATCTAACTGCCTGTAGTATATGTAGGAAAACAGGCTAGATTATAAAATACTAAGAAGGGATGCCTTGTCTCCTGTTACACATACAAGTCACATTTGATATATTTGTCTTTTACAAAGTAAACCTCAACTAAAATAACTAAACTGAAGCCCTAACCATGCTAAATCTAGCATTTTACAATATAAACTTATATTATACAAAGTTTACATGTAGCTAGGGAATACTTCAATCACCTAAAAACATGCACGATATCAGTAAAAATAGATCAATTTCTGAATTTAATTCCTTTTGCGTAATAGCCTTCCTAAGATTACCACACTGAGAGGGTATTCCTAGGTCTCACAGGCCCTGATTATATGTCTTCTGCTCCTTTCTTTCTGCTCCTCTGAAGGAAGAATTTCTTCAAATTCATTATATTTCTCCCTGCTCAAACATGCTATGAACCCCTGTGGTCAATCTTTTTCATTTCAGTTAATATACTTTTCAGTTCTACAATTTCTAATTTTATTCCTTTTTATATTTTTTGTGTCCTCCCAGTTTACTTTAACTCTTCACCCATGCTTTCCTTTAGTTCTCTGAGCAAATTTAAAATAGCTCATTTAAACATGTCATACTTGCTTCTTTGTATGCCTCAGTTTTTGTCGAGCAGTGAACATTCCAGATTCTGCCCCTGTGGAGTCTGATACAGCAGCTGTTGTTTTGATTGCTTAGTGACTGTGATAAATTATTCTTGTAAACTCTGTATTCACTGTCCCATATGGTTAGTCGGTCTGTGTTCCTTTACTTAGTGGTTAACTACTGTAGTGTATTGACAAAGATTTCCAAAAATACCAAGAGCCAAAAATGAAAAAGAGAAAGAATATACTCTCTAGGTTTCTGCAGCCTGGGGCCACCCTTCAACACTAAGCTGGGCCAGTGGAGCCCACTCTCAGCTCACTGCCTGTTGTGCAGTCTAAGGTCAGCAAGAAGCCTCAGGTCCTCATGTGCCTCCTCTGAGCAGGCTCCAAGACTGAGCATGTGCTATGGCCACCTCAACTCCAGGTGTATACAGCAACTCTTCACTGGAAAGAAAAAAATCCAATGAATTAAAAAAAAAAAAAAAAAAAAAAACCTAATGAAAACTATCATGCCTAACTCATTTTCAGGTTTTGTATCTTTTACAACCCAAATTGGGATGGGGAGAGCAGGGACACTTCCAGAATGGCATAAAAAGAACTTCTATAAATCCAGTCATCCACAAAGCAAAGAGAACACCAGCAAAAACTGCCAAAACCAACTCTTTTCGAACAGTGACACAGACTCACAATAATCTAAGAAGTGTTTCTTCAAGAAAAACCTCTGAATCTCAGAAAAGTGAGTTCGTAAGTTTTTTGTTTAATCCTATTCCTCTCTTCCAAACTCCTTGAAACCAAAGTCCTTGACACATGACAGTTGTGAAAAACAGCAGTATGGCAGTACTGGGAAAAGACAAAACAAGTGTGGGGGATCCCTAGCAGACCAATCACTGGAGCCAATGGCCAGGGCCTGAGAACCTCAACTTTTGAGCTTGTCTCCATCTGACCTGACTCAGACCACTTGGGTGAACAAACGCTGGTTCTCAAGACATCCATCAGAAACATCTATCAGAAACACTCAGTAGCAACTGCTATAGATGACAGGTTCCTGATGTGACATTAGCAGCTATAGCTATCAAGAGACTGAATAAAAATTTACATGGAAAAGCTGGAGAGTGGGATGTTTATGGGGACACTGAAAAGTATACAGATGGCCACATGCATGTTCAGGGACAGCTCCACATTCCTGGAGCCAAGCAGAGCCCAAGGAGACCAGAGACAGCCTAAGCACTCAACTCTGGCATCCCTAAGGCCTCTACACAAGCAGGAAGAAAAGGCAGAGACAGAGTAGTTGATAGTGAAAGAAGCCACACAAAAGGTCATATGTTGTGTGATTCCATTATACAAAATGCTCAGAAAAGACAAATGCAAGCAACAGAAAGCAGGTCAGTGGCTGACAGACTAGATGTGCACAGGAGAGGGGGAGAATGAGGAATGACTGGTAATGGGTTCTGGGATTAGCTGTTGGTTATATACAACTGTGAACAAATTGAAATCTTATTAAACTGCATGCCTTAAAAGCATGAATTTATGTTAAGTGTACTGTGTCTTAATGAAAGCTGTAAAAAATTAAAACCTTAATCAGCTTTGTAAAAAACCAGGACCACCACAGATAAATATCTTTTTTTTGATACCAGGTATCAAACTCAGGGCTCTGAGCTATATCCCTAGCCCACAGATAAGTATCTTATTTCCTCTGCATTTTTAACTTTTTACAAAAGTTTTGAGGAATGAGTCATTATGAATTAGAAAGTGAAGCCTCCACACAACATATATTTATAAAAATGTAAAGAATATTTAATGCCACCACTTGGGATGATGAGGCAGGATTGTCGCCAAGTTCATGGCCAACCTGGGCTACATAGTGGGTTCAAGGTTAGCCTACACCGCATAATGAGACTGTCTCAAAAGAAATTTAAAAAGTGTTATTATAGCTCTTAGCCTTATTTCATCTTTCTAAACTCTCTTCTACTTACAGTCTAATCACAGATAATTTTAGATGACGCTCTAAGGTCTTTTTGAATAAGCTTCCTTCTATTTACAAATATTTATTGGGGAGGAATAATTACACAATACAGAAAACAGAAAGAAGAAAATAAAAATCACTTATAATATCATCTACAGACAATCATTATTAATATGTTAGTTAAAAAAAAAGGGGCCGGGGATGTAGCAGTGCCTGCCTCGCAAGCATAAGCGTAAGGTCCTGAGTTCGATCCCCAGTAACCCCCGAAAAAAGTATGTTGGTGTACAGCCTTCAGTCTTACATTTCTTTGTAAATGTTAACCTAGTGAAAATAATTTAAAACTACCTGAACATGTTCAATGCCACAAACGACCAAATACACTTACAGTTCTTTCTCCAGTAAAGGTAAGATTTGTTCCATTCTCCTTAACCTTTAAACATGACAAAAAAGAAAAAAAAATTAATTTAGAATAATTTACTTTACTCCCAAAAATATGTTAAGGAAAATAATTACCTCCTGTTTTTCTCCTAAGAGAGGCAGCCGGTGCATAGACTCCCCAGAAAAGCTCTACAAAACAAACACAAAACTAAATTAAACATGTATAAATAGTAAAGGAAAAGTATAGCTCAAAATACTCAGAAAGTTAAAGCAAAACATAATACCATAATAGTTAACACAGTAATACAGCACCTGCAGGCAAGAATCCCAATTAACCACAAACAAAATGAATAAAACTTTGGAAGAACTAAAAAATAACAAAGCATGAGGCAGGAGGATCGCCCTAAATTCGAGGCCAGCCTGGGCTACAGAGTGAGTTCAAGCCTCCCCTGAACTATAGAACAAGACTCTGCCGCAAAAGAAAACAAAAACAAAACAAAACAAAAAATCAAAGCAAACTGGCCAATCATTTCTACTGAATAACATTATGAATGACAAAATCTAAGATTATGATATACACACAGGATGGAAGACCTTAGAAAATCTCTCATTCTACAGATGAGGTAAATAGGCTTAAAGTCAAGAAAACGTAAATGCAGAAATAGATCTGAACCTGACTCCTAACTCTTAGGTCCACTATTCCTTCCACCACAATACAGTCTATGGCTGTAAAAAACTACCCTAATTGCCTCGTATTTGCCTAGCTGAGTTACTGCACTGTGTGATTCAACTCTTCTTAGACTGCTGGAGAGTAAACCTTACTAACAGGGCTGGGTGTGCTATGACTCTGGGAAGATTAGAGTTAATCTAAAATGGGGAACCTCATGAAGTAAGACAAAATGGGTCACTTTGCATAATCAAACCTAAGACCAACCAATCCTCCTAGCCTCAAGCATCATTCAGAGAACCAACAGAAAGCATACTAACATAATATAGATATGAACTATTCAAAATCACATTGCTTCTAGTTTTCTTTTTCTACTCTTCTGCCATTTTAAAGCTGTTTTCTTTTCCCTCTAATTCCATAAAATCTAAGCTATGACAACAGTTGAATTTTGTTTGTTTGGTACCGGGGATCGAACCCACGACTTTGTGCTTACAAGGCAGGCACAGCAACACTGAGCTAAATCTGCAGCCCTGTTTTTTTCCAAAGCAATTTTTAAATACAATAAAGACAAGCCCGGCGTGGTGGTGCACGCCTGTCATCCCAGCACTCAGGAGGCTGAGGTAGGAGGATCGCTGTGAGTTCAAGACCAGCCTGGGCTACATAGTGAGTTCCAGGTCAATCTCAACTACATAGTGAGACCCTGTCTCAAAACAACAACAACAAAAAACAAAAAACAAAAACAAACCCTGGAGGGCCGAGGATTTAGCTCAGTGGTTCTGCTGCCTGCCTAGCAAGTGCAAGGACCGGAGATCAATCCCCATACCAAAAAAAAAAAAAAAAAAAAAAAAAAAGAAATTCTGCAGTTTTGCTTTTTACAAACAAAGTAAGTAAAGTACATGCTGTCTTACTTAATAAAGTAATTATGTAAGTGGCTGATTATGCACTTACCAGGACAAGATTCCAACTCATTTCTCCTTAATTGGTGGGGAAACAGATACAGGAGAAAATACAGACCTTACATTTTTTTTAACCTCTTAAATTTCTCACCCATCACTTTCAAAGCTTACCTGTGTTTTAAAGAGTTCACTGCAGTTTTGGAACAATTTTGATGATGTTTGGTATTTTCCAGACAAGTCTCTTTTTTCCTTACGTTTTTCCAAATATGTCTCTACTTCTTCTGCCTGAGGAAAAAAAAGGGAAATATAAAATATTTAACTTATCTATCACAAATAAGATAGACAGACACTAGCAAATTGGTCACCTGTGGTACAAATGTAATTTTGAGTCTGCTATTTTCAAAGTTAACAGCATCAAGCCAGGCATGGTAGCACACATCTGCAATTCCAGCTACCCAGGAGGGTGAGGCAGAAAGACTGCAAATTTGAGGCCAGTCTGGGCAACAATGCAAAATCCTATCTCAAAGTAAAATTTTAGAAAAAGGCTGGGGATATAGCTCAATGCTCCCTGGGTTCAATTACCAGTACATAAAAATACAATAAAAACAGAATCAGAAAAAGACTATAATTGTATCCAAAAACCTAACATTAGTTAAACTCTAGATCGTAGAAGTCTTGTCTTTAGCTCATAAAAGGCTACAGTAATTCCAGGAATACTGGGAAACTAGCAGAGGCCAGAAAGGTTTTGGTCACATGGAAATATATTTAAAAGTTACCTATCTATCAGACTCACAAGCTTAAACACTACATGGTTTCTCTTACATGAAAAACCAAATAAATTAAACACAAAATAAAAGACAAATAATAGGGAAAGGGGGACCAGGGATGTAGCTCAGTGGTGCTGTACCTGCCTGGCAAGCACAAGGTCCTGAGTTTGATCCCCAGTACTGGAAGGAAAAAAAGAAAAAAAAGGGGAACAGATATTTTGCAAATGAGAAGGGGAACAAGAAATAGAGGAAGGACAGAGAAGGGAAGGGGAAGTAAAAAAGAATTAAGATGTGTTATGTACATGTATCAGCTCCCCAAGATGAATGTAATCAATCATGTGCTGCAAACCATGTACTAATAAAAGTAAGTTACCTGAGTAACATTAATAGAAAGATATATTTGTGCTCATAGCTAAGACAGAGTGGAAACTACTGTAGCTATTCATAGCCCAAAACCTAATTCCTGTGGCTTCACCTATCAGTTCTGTGATTTTTCTGATATCTACATCTCTGATTTTGCCTTCATCAGAAAATAGCTCCAATACCACATCCCACCTTCTTCTTGTCATCTCCACACTTTATCCTGTATCCAAAATAATTTCCTATGAAGAGAGGATCTGCTAAACACTTGATCAAGTTTAAAATGGTATAACCTTTTACTGTAAATTCAACTAGTGAAAAATTCAGAGAAAAGGATCAATGACATCAAACTATATTCTGGAGACATCATTTCTTTTAATTCTTCAGTCCTTTCATTCCTACCATATCAGTCCAACCCAATGTTATATAACAAAAGCAAACAAAAATCAAAACAGGTCATGTAAAAACCTAAGCAGAGTCAAAATGCTTACTTTGGACTTTTTTAAAGACCAAATTATCTCTGTAAAGAAATTTCAAAAGGAAAATCTTGGATGGGGAGAATGAATGATGCAAATGGTAAATAGCAGGATGAAAACAGAATGAAAGAGGCCTAACAGCAATGCTCAAGTATTATACACTTCAGCAACTCTCTAAGGTACTTAACAGGCCAAAACTGTTTGCCTGCAATGATGGCACAATAACCATGGTGGTAAAACCGTCACCCTCCCTGCAATAGGGAACCAAGGCAATGGTGAGAAGCTCTACCGGTAGTTTCATTCTTCACAGTCACAAACTCATGGTGGGTGGGTAGGAGGATTGTTTTATGCAAGAATATTCTTAGCGAAACAGCAGAAATTTTTAATGCTAATAAATCTAGATCTGTGACACCATGCCACTTCTAATAATCTACATGACAAAATGGGAAGTATGCAGAATGATTGTCTTAAAGATTTGCAACTGTTGTGTCATACAACTAAATGAGCAACTTTGTTTTATTTGAAAAAATGACACTACTGTTATCAGAGTTGGTTATGCTCTTGAAAATGAGCTACAACCTCAAGGAAGAGAATAGAACACTACAGTAACCAACGATAAGAGCTGAGCTTTCAAGAAAAAACTAGAATTTTATAGAACTCATATCTGTTACTATCAACTAAATGGCTCTTTTTTTTTTTTTGGTATTGGGGATCGAACTCAAAACCCTGTGCTTGCAAGGCAGGTGGCAGAACCACTGAGCTAAATCCCTGGCCCTAAACTAAATGGCTTTTAAAACTTAAAAAACTATTGATGAGATAGGGTGGAGAGTAGAAGGTGGGGGTTTTAATTGTAATTTAGATTTTAATATAAAATGAACTAATGTTTTAAAGATTTATATAATTATGTCAACCAGTGTTTTCTAAATAACCAACAAATGATGTTACAAAATCATGTACAAGATCATGTAAAAGATCCTTTCAAAGTGCAAGACACATCAGTGCATTTTATAGTATAGAATATAGGCCAGGTGTGGTGGTGCACACTTGTGATCCCAGCACTTGGGAGGCTGAGGCAGGAGGAGCAACAAGAGTTCAAGGTCAGCCTGAACTACAAAGCAAGATCTGGCCTCATAAAAACAAACAAAAAAACACTACATACACACACACACACACACACACACACACACACACACACACACACACCCACA